CTCATCATGAATGAGGCCAGGAACAGATCCCTGAAGAACTCCAATGGAGACCTCCTGCTATGGTGATACTGAATTATTTATGACTATTCTTTGAATCAGGCCATTCAACCATTTGTGAATGCATCTAACTGTATTTCCTTCTGGCCAAAATATCTCTATCTTTTACATAAGAATGGAATGGAATTACTTTAGCAACTGCTTTACTAAAATCTAGGTAGAGTCCATTTATAGTATTCTTATGATGGACTAGTTTAATAGTGCTCAAAAAATGAAATAAGGTTATTCTCTCATGATCTGTTCCTCATGAAACCATTCTGACTCTTTGTAATCAATGCTTTCTTTTCTAGACTTTTACTAACCATCTCTTTAATGATCATTCTATATTCCCAGGAATTACAGTCAAGTTCAGCTCACGAGTCTATAGCATGTAGATTCTGTTCTCTTTTGCTCTTTGAAAATCAGAATATTTGCCCTTTTACAGTCATACTGCTCAAATACCATTCATCAACTGCATGGCATTTTTTTGTTTGTAAAGGTCAAGACAGTATTATAAGCATACCGAAAAATTCTATGTCCATGCTTATCCTCCTGTGAAATACTTAAATATTTTTGTATACCTAGTTCTGCTTTATTTTTGCCTTATTATTAAGGTGGCCAGCTTATTGCAAATCAATTAACAATACATACATAGGACAGAGAGATTAGGAGAACAAATAGGGGGTTAAATAACATTTTTTTGGTTCAGGTGGTTCTTTAGGCATAAAAATGAATCAACAACAACAAGCATTTATATAGCACTTTGAGGCTTACAAAGTGCCTTATAAGTATTATAACATTTTATTCTTACAACAATCCTGGAAGGTAGCTACCATTACTACCTCCATTTTAAAAATGAGGAAACTGAGGCAGTTACACAGCTAGCAAGTCCAATTTGAACTCAGGTCTTCTTGACTCTAGGCTCAGTTCTCTCTATTAACTGCATCACCAGCTGCCTCAGAAAATACAAGTTCGGTTGATAGCAAAGATTTGGAGTTTTAATTTTAGTTCACTTTTCCAAAGAAAGATAGCATTAATTATGAAACAGTTTTGATTCAGGAAAATTTCATATAACATTGTAAAAACTACCGCTAGTTTTATGCACTATGTAGGAAATAATTTTCTGCAGCAAATACATCATTAATGTTAAAGTCTAGAATAAGAGGCTAGTTTATAACTCAAGACTGATTTGAACTAGTACAAGGGCATAAAAAAGCAAACAGTACCTGCTTTATTACATTGGATTTAGCTTCCTTGAGCAAAATATTAATTTGTTACAATATGTTAATCTTCTTGATTGATTACAGCCAATATACATATGCATAATTTTGTTCAGACATATCTATATCTATATCTTTGAAAACGGCTGAAATAGAATGAATGCTTAATGACTAATCGAGAAATGAAGAAAAGCAGCCTGGTGCAGTGGACAGAAAGCTGACCTGAGAGCCAGGAGAACTGGGTTCACACCTGGCCTCTGACACATACTGGCTGTGTAACCCCTAGGCAAGTCACTTAATTTTTCAATTAATTATAGATAAGTCTTTAAGTTGCAAAGAGAGTGCTGATCTTCAGTGATAGACAAGTTTCTCACTAGAAAGTCAATAAAATCAAAGGTTAGTCCATAATGAGGCAGAAGCTAGGTGGCATAGTGGATAGAGTGCTGGGCCCAAAGTTAGGAAAACCTAAGTTAAAATCTAACCTTAGATACTTACTAGCTCTGTGATCCTGGAAAAGTCATTTAATCTCTGTCTGCTTTAGTTTCCTTGACTGTAAAATGGGGATAATAGCTCCTATCTCACAGGGGTGTTGTGAGGTTCAAATGAGATAATATTTATAAGGACTTGGCACAGTGCCTGACACATAGTAGGTGTGCTTAACAAACGCTTGTTTCCTGTATGATTCATTTTTAATAGAGAGCAAAATGTGGGTGAAATTAAGAGATCATTCAAATGGTAAAAGTATTCAAGATAATGTATTTATTTAGATTTATCCAAGCTTTAGAAACAGGATGAATAGTTAATGACTAATTTTAAAATAAGAGGGTTAGTTAATGGGAGCAGTAGGATTTACTTCTTAACATCAATAAGTGGTAAAGTGTGGGTGGAATTAAGAGATCATTCATCTGATAAACATATTCATGATAGAGTTAAATTTATGATCTAGGATCAGAATGCTTCACTTAAAAGATAATTCTTTTGTTACATGAAATGTCATAAACTACATAAGGCAGGCTAGTATTCTGCTAGTAGTTAATCCTATATAATTAAGTGGGAAAAAAATAATATACATTTAGTGTATCTAGGCCCTTAAACAAATTTTAGTATAGATTAAAGAATTCACTATTGACAGAGGAATCATAATGTATTTTGAAAACATGAGATAAAGTCCAAGGAGTTGGCATAAGTAACAGTTATGTGTATATGAATTATGAAAGGAAAGTAAACAAACATAATTTAGTTTCTGGTTTTTAAGAAATACTGATGGGAAATCTGAGTACAGTATTTATGGAAGGGGAAATAACACACTTTTTTCTTTCCTGTTGGCTGGTTGAGAGAGAAAAATCTATTCTTGAATTGTTCAAACCATGCCATTTCTTAAAATGATGCCTACATTTCACTCTCTTATGTTAATGCAGCTTGGAGGAAAAAGCTTCTCATGGAAAGAGCCAATAAAAGTTGGACCTTTCATTTGGGTTTCCTTATTGTGTTTCCTATCAGGATCTTGAAGTCCTTTAATATGGAAATGTGATTATCCATATTTTAGAGACAGAAAATGGGACTCATGAAAGTGAAGGATCAGTAGCACGGTTCCTGTGTTGACTCTTAGCACAAGACATCATCCAAAAGATAGAGTATTTAGGATTCTTGGCAAGTCAAGGTAAACAACAGCACTTTATGGTGCAGAGGAAGAACAGGCAACCTTGGCCAGAATGTACAACTTAGCACTTGTCCAAATGCACTACCGCCCCACTTCACAGTCCTGCATAGTGCTAACTTCTTCAATCCATGAAGGCAGCAAGTTCCTTAACAGTCTTAGGATCATTTCTGTGAGGAAAAGTAGCAATTCAAAATAAATCAGATACCTACCTAAACATGATGTGGGGGAAATACCATTAAAAATAAGTCTCTAAAAACTGGGAAAATTTTAACTGGGCATCAAATTACTTTCAAATCCAAAGAAGACTCTTAGGATACCAATGTTTTTAGGTAAATACATTAATTTGTATTTCAGGGATTTTGGTAGACAACAACTGTCTTTGTTGTAAAGCTGCCACATGTTTAATACATTTCTTTCTTTCTGGTTCATTTCACTTATTATTTACTTTTATTAAATCTGCTATTTGTTAACCACACAGTTTTCTCACTATTACAGGTCAAGGTCCTGGTTTAATGCCTAATGGACTAACAGGAAAAAGATTCATTTACTACCACAGAGTATAAAGGCCATTTGGTTCACAAGTCCCTAGGTACAATGGTAAATCTAATAGACGCGTTTGGTGGAGAATATGTTCTTTCTATAGCCTTTATTAAAGTTCTGTATTATCTAACTCAGTGCTTTCCAAGTGGGCATGGGGATTCTTCTGTGGCTCATATGGAGATAAGCAACATCAGAAGATGCTACAAGGAAGAAGACCAATGGAGCAGAGTAAGGTAAACACAGTAATTTGCATGTTGTAGAAGGGTTGGGTAGGGTAGAAGAACAAGAAATTTATATACAGGAAAAAGAAAAAAAAAGAGGGGTGAATTTGTCAAAGACAGATGGGACAGATGCCAAGACTCTTAGCCAGAAAAAAAATGTCTGGAAACCATGATTCTACTTGATCCTACCTGATTGGGCTAAAGTGGTATAAGAAAAGACATTTCTCACAAATGGGTAAAATACTACCGTGGTGAAATTTAAATCATTCTTGTTTTTCTAGGAGTGAAAAGAGTGGGTGGAATGTCAATGCTGTAGCTCTGATCAAGGCTTGCTAACCCAAACCACTGTAGTCTGAACATGTCTCCACTACGTCTTGTAAATGACTGTGAGGTCTGCTCATACTTACCAGGTCTATGTTTTGCATTATATCCTGAAAGGAAGGGTGAGTTCGAAACTGTTCAAAGAGGTCCCGTTTGTATAACAATGCATACACCAGGTTTGGGTTGTGGTGGAGAGAATTTGTCAGGCAGGAATTGATGATCTCTAACATCATTCGAATCACTTCCTCAATCACATTCAGGTCCTGTGCCTTTGAAAACAAAAGGAAAATATTACAGATTAAGTGGTCTTTAAAATAAAAAAGAATTAGAAAGAATGAGAACGCCATTTTTATACGTAACAGCACTAGAAAGATCATTTAGAAGAGCTTAGTCATTTCAAGTAATTTTTCAATAAACTCAGTAATTAGAGTTCTCAGTTTTGGCTTAAAACATAGACTTGTTTCCCTCGAACTCAGAGTGGAAATAATTAGGGATATCACAGAAATAATAAAAAGAATCACAGAGTTGTGAGGAAATATACAGATCATCTAGTTTTCCCTTGTTTTGGGAAACTGAGTCCCAGAGAGGTTAAGTGACTTGTTTAAAGTCATACAACTATGTAGCAGTAGAGTCTTTAGACTAAGTCCCAGGTCTTCTGCCTCCTAGAGAAATGCTCTGTATTACTCTGTAAGGGTTAAGTCCCTTACATGTAGAAGAAATTAATACTCATCGATGGGTAATATAGAGAAAGACATTTTCACAAGAAACAATTACAAACTCACCCCCCTTCTCCCCTCCTCCCCCCATTAAATTAACTTAACTTTCTTCTCATGTAAGGACAAATACATTATTATAATAGAAAGAACATCAAGCACGCAATCAATAAATATTTATTAAGCACCCACTATGTTCCAGGTACTGTTCTAAGCACTGGGGATTTAAAAAGAGGCAAGACATTCCCTGACTTAAGAAAACAAATATGTACAAACAAGCTACAGAGGATAAGTAAGAAATATTTACAAGAAGGAAGGCACTAGAACAGGCCTACACAACCTGTGGCCCACAGGTCATTTACGGCATACCAAAGGATTTCCCCAGCTAGCAGAAAATGTAGAGGAAAACATCCTTTGTATGTAGAGGAAATCCTCTGGCATGCTGGAAGTGACCTGGGCCGTAAGCGGCAGGTTGTGTAGGCCTGCACTAGAATTAAGAGGGTTTGGGAAAGACTTCCTGTAGAACATGAGATTTTAGTTGGGACTTAAAGGAAGCCAGGAGGTAGAGATGTAGAGGGAGAGCAATCTAGGCATGGGGGACAGTCAGAGAAAATGGCCAGAGACGAGAGATTGAATCTTGTTTGTGGAACAGCCTGAAGGCTAACGTGACTGAATCAAAGAGTATATGGTAGGGAGTAAAATGTAAGAAGACTGGAAAAATAGGAGGGGGCTAGGTTATGAAGGGTTTCGAATGGTAAGCAGAGGATTTTGTATTTGATCCCAAAGGTAACAGGAAGCAGTGGAGTTTAATGATTAGGGAGGGACAGTTGGACTGGAAATCACTTTGGTGGCTGAATGGAGGATGGATTGGAGTGGTAAGAACCTTGAGGCAGGCAGATCCACTAGCAGGCTATTACAATAATCCAGGCATGAGGTGATAAGAGTCTGCATTAGAGTGGTAGCAGTGTCAGAAGAGAAAAGGGGGTATGTTAAATAGATACTGCACAGATGAAATCAACAGGCCTTGGCAACAGCTTAGAAGTGGGGAAAGGGGGTTAGTGGCTAGAGATAGTTAGGAGTTAGGGATGACTTCTAGGCTGTGAGCCTGAGGGACTGAAAAGATGGTGTTGCCTACTACAGTAATACAGAAGGGGTTAAGGGAAAGATGATAAGTTCCATTCTGGACAAGTTGAGTTTAAGATGTCTACTGGATATTCAGTTCCAGATGTCTAAAAGGTAGTTAGAGATGTAAGATCATAGGTCAGCAGAAAGGATGGAACAGAATACATAGATTTGAGAATCATCATCATATGCAGAGATGGTAATTAAATCCATGAGAGTAACAAATACAGCAGTATAGAGGGGGAAGGGAAGAGGGCCCAGGACAGAACCCTGATATATACCTATGGTTGGAGGAAATGATCTGGCATGATCTGGCAGAGGATCCAACAAAGGAGATCAGATAGGCAGCAAGACAAAAGGAGAGAGTATGGTATGGAAAACTTAGAGAGAAAAGAGTATCAAGGTTAAGAGGGTGATCAAGAGTGTCGAAGGCTACAGAGATGTTGAAGAGAATGAAGACTGAGAAAAGGCCATTGGATTTGGCAACTAAGAGATCACTGGTAACTTTGGAGATAACAAATTTCCAAATCTTTGGTGGTATAATAAAGCTGGAAGCCAGATTGTAAGGGGTTAAGAAGAGAACGAGAGGAGACAAAGTGGAGGCACTGTGGCTATAGCTTAGCCACAAATGGCAGAAGAGACATAGACAATGGATAGTTGGGATAGAAGGATCAAGTGAGGGTTTTTTCAGGATGAGGGAGACATGGACATATTTGTAGGCAGTAGGAATGAGGAAGCAGACAGGGACAGATTGAAAATAAGTGATAGAGTGGGAATGACAGAGGGGGCAATCTGTTGGAGGAGATGGGAAGGAATGGGATCGCTTGAGACGTAGAAGAGTTAGCCTTGGTAAAAAGTAAGGCCAGTAAGGCCACCTCACCAAGACAGAAGTGAAGGTGATCAGGGCAGAAGGCATTAGAATGATAGTAGATGAAGAAGAAGGGAGAAGAGGAAGCTCATGGTAAATGGCTTCAATTTTTTTTTTTTTTTGTAAAATATGAAGCAAGGTACTCAGCTCACAGGGTGCAAGAGGGGGAATTATGACAGGAGGGATGAAAAAGTGTGAGGATGGATGAAAAAAATGGCAGAGCAGGGTGGTGAGTTGATAAGGTAGGATTGTCTAGTGGTAGTAAGGGCTTAGTTGAGGTTGTGTAACATAAATTTGTAGTGGATCCAGTCAGAATGGTTATGTGGTTTTTTTCTACTTTCAGTTAGCAGCATCTGTGTTGAAGCAAAGATGGCAAATAGTAGGAGTGGTCCAAGGTTGAGGTTTGACAGGGCATAATCAGACAAATGATAAGGGAGCTAGAGATTCAAGAGAGGACAAGGTTCAGTTAAATTGATTCATTAAGGGGTCAAGAGGAGAGAGTGGCTAGTGCAGGAAAGATAACTTGGGAGAGACTTGAGGGGTCAAGAGATTAGAGATCATGGTGTGGACAGAGTAAAATTTTGTAAGGGAAGGCAGAAAAAGAGGTAAAAAGTCAATAGATTATGGTCAGACAAAGGGATTTTAGAATTCTTGAACATGGAGGTGGCGCAGTTGTGAAGGTGACGGCAAGATTAAGGGTATAACCATTTTTGCATGTGGCTGAAGTGGGGTAGGGGAGTGGTAGGTAACAGGAAGTAAGTAGATTAAGGAACTGAGTGGTTAGAGTGTTTGAAGGAGAGTCAATATATATGGCGATGTCCCCTAGTATGAGGACAAGAGTTGGGGAGGAGAGAAAAATTTTAAGTCATGTACTAGACTTATTGAGGAAGGAAGGGGAGTGACCTGGAGTTTTGTAACCCTAACCCTACATTCCTGCTACTGGGATTGCTTGGGTCATAGCTATGAATAGCATGAACCTGAAAAGAGGAAAAGTTCCTGAGTGATGGAGGTTAAGGGGAGAACCTGAAAGTAGCAATAGGGAGCCAGGAGTATTTCAATTACCCCATCTTGACCACTGAGCCAAGGGGAATGAGTGAAGGTGTAGTCAACACTGGAAAGGGTAGCTAGAGAGGCTGTGTCATTGGAAGGGAGCCAGGGTTCAGTAATAGCTACTAAATAGAAGAAATAAGAAAGAAAAACTTTAAGGAAGAAGGGAAGTTGGTTGCTTATGGAATAGGCATTCCATAGGGAACAATGGAAGGGCTGTAGGGTGTTTGGTTTAAACTCTGGGTTGGAAAGGTTGAAAGGAATGGGAATAAGGAACTGGGAGGTGAGATGGGGAATGAGGTTTGGATGATGACTCCAGGGTTCAGAATCACTAGGATATAAAGGGTAGGTATGATCAGGTGTGAAAATGTTCACCATTGAGTGGGGAGTACCACTCCACTTCCCAAAAGATTGGGCTGAAGGTAAGTACAGTATGAGATGGGAGACACAAAGTCAGGTGATCAGATGGGAGGTCCCATTTCAGTACTCCTCTTCCCTCCAAAGTGGAGATTAGGCAAGATAGGGCATAGCAGAAGATAAAAGTCAAATCCATACCACAGGAGAAAGAAGTCCCTTTCTTCACCAACTTTCATCTTCTTCTCTCAAGGAACAGGTGCAGCAAGAGATAGAAGATCTGAGGTCAAAGGGAAGGATGCTCCTCTTTGCCCTGAAGGTTTTCCACATCCCAATCAAGAGATTGAGAAGGTAGCAAAAGATGGAAATTGCCTTGTGCTGACACAGATGGAAGCTGTTGCTTTGGGGCAGATGGAGACGCCAAAACCCTTCCCTTAGGGGGCATGTTGTGTTCACCAAGAAGGCACAAGGCACAGAGTCAGAGGCAGGAACATTCGATAAGAAGTCAGAAGAATTGAGATTTAATCCTGCTTCTGCCATTTTCTAGTTGCATGACCTTAATTAAATCACTGAACCTCTAGGTCTCACTTTTCTCATCTGTAAAATAAAGGGATTAGGTTAAATGATTTCTAAAATCTCTTTTAGCTTTATAATTCTACAATTCAATGAGTCAATCAATAAATATTTCTTTTTTTTTCCTGTGAGGCAATTGGGGTTCAGTGACTTGCCCAGAATCACACAGCTAGTGAGAGTTATATGTCTGAGGCCGCATTTGAACTCAGGTCCTCCTGACTCCAGGGCCAATGCTCTATCCACTGTGCCACCTAGCTGCCCCCACAATAAATATTTCTTAAGCATATAATGTAGTATACACCATCCTGTCCTTTGCCCGTAAGGAGCTAACATTACAATAGGGAAACAATGTGTAACAACAGAAATAAATACAACATACATGCAAAATGAATAAGTGGTAATACTTTTCTATGTTGGGGGCAGAAACACAAGTAGCTGAAGAGAAGAGGAAAAGCCTCAAAGAGGAGGTAGCGCTTGTTCTACAACACAAAGGGGTGGAGGTAAAACATTTCAGGCAGGGGATGGTTTGTGCAAAGTGAAGGAGACAGGATCCGCGTTTTCGTGAATGAGCATCAGAAAGCAGGTCAGTTCA